CAGTTGAGTTTTGATACATCCGGAGTTTTGCGTGGATAATGAGGTACGCAAGGTTTTTGTGCGTACACACTGTTGATACATGAGGCCCCAGGTTCACATTAAGACAAATCACCTGATTGAATCAACAGGAAGGTCGTAAACACCAAAGCCACTGTTCAGCTTTGTTTTCTTTCTTTTTAAAAATATATTAATTGTTTTTTTTCCTACCAAAACTAACACGTACATGTTGTTTGGTGCAGTGCAGGCTGACATTTTTCTTTCATCAGATGCTGATAACTCTGCTTGTGAAAACAGAAAACACATGATTGCTTGGTAGTGGTTTGGTTGCTTCATGAGCGTAGAAGTGAAAGCTTAAAAGAGTCGGAGCACTCTAATATACATTATTTACACATTTCAACACGGGGAGGTTTGTGAAACGTCTCCAGGCTATGGCTGCTCTTCTGAGAACTTGGTTTCTAGTTTGGCTGCCTGCTGTGACCTCAACTGCTGTAAGATGACACAGAGTGAAAATAAATTATAAGTTGTTATTTTCAGTCTCCTGAACAAACTGAAAGAGTGAATTGTAATGAAACACAGACTGTGATGGAATCTAGATTATTCTTCTTTCACCTTTCATTGTCCTCTCCTTTGTTGTTCTGCATGAAGTTAGATCTGTTGATGCTGATCAGTGGCGAGGCTCCAGGCAGCTGTCCCGGTCTGATGGGCTTGGCTGGGTTTGACATAAACAAAACAGCTCACTTATACTGTTAATGAACCAAATGTAATGTGTTGAAACAACCAGATCACCTACTGCAACATTTATAACCTTCTGTAGGATTTTGTTTTGTACATTTTCACCCACCTATCACAGCAGAGGGTCTCCTGCCCATGTTTTTAGGTTTAACAGCATCCTTGATGCGCTCCACTTCCTGCTGGTAGCGCTTCTGGTCACGGGCTGCATTCTCTTTGGCCTCCTTCAGAGCAGCCTCCAGGGCCTGGACCCGCTCCGCTGTGGCTCGCAGGCGCTTCTCCAGTTTGGGGATCTCACAGCGCAGGTTAGCATTGTCCCTCAGCAGCTGGTCAAAGTACCAGTAGCAGTGCAGTAAACATGTAAGTAACAGGTATGTCATTAAGAAGATGGACTTGTAAGAAGTTTGCAGTATTTTTTATGTAGATGCACATAGTTTTACCTGCTTGTGAACTTTGGTGAGCTGCTCCAGATTACTCTCCAGGAAGCAGATCTTTTGTTTCTGAACAGTGCTTCCTTCTGTGTCGTCTAAGTCCTGTCCATTCTGTACACAGAAATATACACAGTAACAACTTTATCTGTACTCTGAAATATGCACAGAAACAACTTTATCTGTATGCTGAAAGGCATCAGCAATACTGATGTCAGGAACTGAKAAGTGGGATTTCTCACTAGTTGTAGTTTTTAGGTGCCCGTTTTTTAAAATGGAGACCACCACCCCTGTCTGCTTCTTCACAGGCTTTGTTCCAGTTCTCCATCCAACACTAAAGAGACACATCAGCCATGATAGTCCCTCAATGTCAAGTGCCTTCAGCTTCTAAGGGTGAAGCTCGTCCACACCTGTTGCTGAGAAGCGTTTTCTTTTGTATCTTTCAGGAGGACCTAGTCTCCATTTTATTTATTTCATCAAGCCTCAGGCTGGAGGTGAGCACCATGCTGAGGACTCTGGTTCCTAATTTAYATACGTTACCTTTGAAGACTCAGATGCCCTACTTATCGCAGACAATGTCTGTTGTGTTCCCTGGATTCATTAAAAAATCATCATGGTTCAAATTAGAGTGCAGCTAGCCTGGTAAAAACCAGACCCTTGCCCTTCACTTCGTACGAGGGTCTGTACTCTCGGCTATAGAGAAGCGATTCTTGCTGGAGGCGTGCCCTCTGCTGAAGTGTCGCTGTGAAGGAGGCTTAGCTAAGATGCTAACCAGAAATCATGTGCACTGTAAAACAACCCTACTGAGAGGAGAAACGTACCAAGCCGAACGCGATGACTGTAAATGAGAGCTGCTGCTTTGTCAGACAAATTTATTTTAATTTGGAAGCCTTATCAACACGGACTGTTTTCATTCACTTCCTCCACTCTCATTGCTAAACTAACTAGCAGACACTGCGCAGAAAATTAACATTCTGTTCTCTGATTGGTTTGGCCAACGAAATCCTTGTCTATGGGAGGAATCCCAGACAGAGCAGTGAAGGGAAACTAGAATTGAGCAGAACTGCATAGGAAGGCAAGGGCTAGGCTAGAGTGCAGCTGGTGCACAAGCAAAATATAATGATGTGTGTTTTGTTTCTGTCCTGGTTAGCGCTGTTGGTTTAGGTGCAGAGCTCATTCTGTATCATACTAAAATAAAACCACATCAAATGATACAATTACATGAAGAATCCATCTTTAACCTTCAGACAACATCAATTTTACAGGTTTTAGACACAATCAGAWTGTTTACCTTTTTGACTCTTGTGGCTAAATCTTGGACAAAAAGTCTCCTCAGGTTGTGAAGTGTCTGCAGCTCTCGAGCCTACAAGAAAATAAATAACAACAACTCAGAAGTGAAGGAAGACCAGTCTGTGAGCTAAGTGTCTCTAGTTCACCCGTTACAAAATATATTTATCGACTGACAACTGTTTTTGTACGGAAACTTTGTATGTTGCTGTGATTTTTTATTTCAATCAATCAATCAATCAATCAATCAATCAATCAATCAATCAATCAACCGCCTTTATTTAACCAGATAGAGCCCGTTGAGATCGAGATCTCTTTTACAAGGGTGACCTGGTCAAGTGGTCAGCAGCACACGTCACATAGTAATTGACAAAGCATTTGCATTGATCAAAAAAGAAAATAAGTGAAAAAAAGAAAAGAAAACTACAATCACAATAAATAGATGTTGACAGTTCAGAACCATCTGATAAGACAGAATTCTATAGGTATTTACAATATTTGGTAGACTTGAAAAGAAATTWAGGTGAGAAAAAAATTGTGTTGAAAGATGAAACTACGATTTTCTGAAARGAACATTTCAACAACACTGAAGTGGTTTTCTGTGTTAAAGTTGTGAACAACTAGAAAAATTGCATTTTCTTTGAAAATGCAGTGTGAAAACTGAATAACGTTGCTGAWTATTGAAAAAGAAGCTAAAATCAGATTATTATAGCTAAACGAAATATAGCATTGGCGAAGGCCTAAGTAGCAAAACGCTAGCTAAATGCAGCAAAAGGTTAATAAAAACATATTAAATGCTAAGTAGCTAAACCGTAACATAGCATAAACAAAAATAAAGCAATGACGTGCAGATTTCAAAGAAAACAATGTTTTTGAAGGAATAAAAGATCTCAGTTGTTTTTATAAGAAAAATATTTTTAAATTATTAAAGGTAACGAAAACCAAAGGTCACATCACCCATCTCCTGAAGAACTGAATGTTTTGATATTTGAATAGCTAAAATAGCACATAGTACACCAAAGWTTTTATATGTCAAAAATAATTAAAAATAGAAACCTGAAACATTGTAATGTCAATGCTGACTTAGAAAACTGTTTTTACAACCTTTTGGAAAGAGGGTTCATGTCTGACAAGGCTGATGAGCTAATGACTGAATGCAGCTAAAACATAAGTCATGATTATTTTCCATAACTGTAATATAAAACTAACAGTGGTGTAAAATGTCAAAACCACTGTCAACTTTTAAAGATTGTGACTGTTTTAAGGCAGAAGAATCCAGTTTAGAAGTGGGTTCATTCAGACCAGTAATTAAAAAACAAACAGAAAAGCTGAACAATAAAAATTAAACCAGGAGGTTTCAATAACTGAATATTTCTCAGTAGTTTGACATTTTTTATTTCATGTTTGTGCWTGAAAGAACTGAAGTTATTAAAATATTTAGTTTTGGTTTTAACTAAAATGCATTTAATAAAGAATAAAATGGAATAATTCTCTAACACTGACACTGGTTATTTTGGTGGGCTGTCTTTTTATTTAATAAATTAGAGAAAGGGAATTTTTTTCTTGATTTAAGGCCAGCTACTGCTTGAACTTCTCCAACTAGGTACAAAGTGATGAGTGTTCTTGTTTTGTCGTTAGGATCCTTTAGCTGAAAACAGACTTGATAATCATAGAAATAACTGACCACCGTCTCCTCCAGTCCTTTCAGGTCCTGCCTGGCCTGTTCCCGTCGGTCCTGCAGAACTCTGTCACACATAAAGCAGATGGTAACAATAATACGCACCCAGCTGTGAGAAGAATTGTCCTGCTGACCTAACATCTGGCCTTACGTGAGCTCTTGCAGCTGGCGGCTCTTGTCCTGGTCCGCAGCCTTCAGCTTCTCGTGCTCCACTCTCAGCCTCTCCTGCTCCAGAACGATCTTCTGGTTCAAGCTGCACGGACAACACGGACAGGATCAGCACAGGCCCGTGTGCTCCAGCAGCAGAGTGACGCATCTGGTGATGTGCTGTCTTACTCCTGCAGCTCAGTGATGACCTTCTCCTTGTTGTCCAGCTCGTCTCTCAGGCTGCTGATCTGCTTCTGATGGGCCTCTCTGTGAGACTGGATCTGCTTCTCCACCGCYTCCTGAACACATGCAAGCACACGTGCACATTCTGTCATGGCTCAACTGCTCACCTAAAACCAGATTTAATTAGCGTCAGCTTTGTGACACRGTACCTTTACTTCATTAGCAGACTGGATCTCATTCTCCTTCTCCATAGTATTGACCTTCTCTGGAAGGAGAGCAAATTATTCATTTAGTAAACTCACTGTTGAACAAACCGGATACTTTGTAAATCGTCATTCAAACAACATAAACTACAGTTTGTTTCCCCAGTAACTATTTTTTAGAGTTTAAAGCTGCATTAGGGAGTTCAGGGTCAAATCATGGACAGCCTGAAAATTTGAACAAGCTCACCTTACAGGTCCCTCCCCTTTGAGCCCTGCTGTGCTACAGCCCTCCCTCTAGCTCCTCCCCCACAGCGGAGCCTTATGGTGCGTTCACACCAAACATGATTTCAGCTTCTAAATCACATCCAATGCTTCAAGTTGCACGCTTGTGCACTTTGAGGTCAGATGCAGGTCAGCTCTTGAAGCGCTGCACGGCAAGAGCCTCCCCGCCCCTCCCTCTTCTGTCGGGCTCTGTTTAATGTCGGACGAGGAAGTGGCTTTGCTTTTTTACAGAGAGCAAG